TTTTATTGTTTTTGTTTCTTCTATTTTTAGTAGAAACTCCCAGAATGAGATGCAAATAGTCTAGACGTTAATCTAAACTATCCTTTATGGGTTGGTTACTGTGGCCAACACAAATTCTCTACTCGTCATGCTTGTCAATAGCATAGTGGTGATAGCACACATTACTAAGAAAACATAACAAAGATGATTTAATCTTTTTCAATTTCATTGACAATGATACAAAATTGATTGTATTGATGAAATTTGGCTTGTAAATTCCTATCATTCTTAATGTTAATCAGTTTCTAATAAAATAATTGAATGATGGCTAATAGTACTATCACAATGCCCAAACTTCTAGAAAGTATGTTCAAAGATTTATCACATTCTATTTATTTAATTTAGTTAACTAATTTAAAAATTAATTTAAATAATTCAATCTATTAATTTAATTTAATAAGTCATTTTACAAAGACTTAAGAGCTATGTTTCCAAGCTTATCCTGTGCAATTAATCCTATTAAATTACATAGTGATTGTAATATTTCCAGACTTTTCTTTTTAAAAATGTTCTTATCTGGTGTTTTTAAATAGTGTACTATGTTTCATTACATCACATATCATAAACACAGGCAAGGATCCTAAGCAACCTGAATTCTTATTATGCTTCAGGTAAAAATGTTAGTTGATATGCACTCTAGAGAAAACAGCCTGAAATTATCCACAAAAGTTAAGCAGACTTTATAACTCAGAATTTCTTGTTTTTGTGTAAACATCCATCAATGTCAGTAGGTAATTCCTCTGAAAGGATGTTCGGGGCAGCTGTATGTGTAATACCCAAACCCTAGAATCTGCCCAATTGACACCAAGAGAAGCTTTATTCCCTTTGCTGGGTGATACTACATTTTCACTAATGTAGCACAACAATTTCATTCAGAATACAACCCAAAAGATTTGGGATATTTGAATAGTTTGAATTAAATAGCAAATACCTTTATAGCCTGTACTGACTATTGGAAATGTGTGAGAGAAGGTGCCTCTGGGTCACTGGAGGTGTTCCAAACTAGTATTTGAGTTCCAAACTAGTATTTGAGTTGTGATGGAACAAGTGGGTGTGTGAACTGTACGTGGTTTACATACACTAAAGTAAAAACACATTCACATGCACAACTCTTTCAGACAGTCATGATCAGTGACATTTATTACACAATGCCATGGATACTACATCTCTCAAAAGTACTGTGTCTTTGTGTGCTCCTGTGCACAAGTACACACTAAGCCATCTCCACAGCCCATATCTTATTTTTATAAAGCCACTCATGCTGTCTTTCAGAAGCTCAAAGATGTAAATCCTGAGAGTTCAGGGCAGCCCATTCTGCTCAGGAACCTGGTGTACCAAAGCTACTTCATGATGCTGGCCAGAGCCTGCAAAGCCAATCACAAAGTCCCTTCTTAGTCAGACAAATGCCGATTACAAGAGGAGTTTGGGTTTTAGGATTTAGTTTGTAGAGCAGTGGTTTGGAAACACATCCTAAGGGGCATTAACCCGTAAAGAGTGTTAGCACCATGTCCATGGGGATCATTTCTAACAGGCTGTCAAATTCAAGTGTGCAGCTAGGCTGCCTTCATTTATTGCTCCTTTAAGAGTAAATGTCAAGTTTACTATCATAGGCTTTGGTGTGGGGAGATGGCTCAGTTGAAAAACTGCATAAGCATGCGCCCCAGAATTTGGATAACCAGCACCTATCTAAAAATCTGGGCGTATATATAATCCCAGTCCTGAGTAGTCTGAGATAAGATTCCTGAGGATTGCCGGTCATCCACCCTAGCTGAATCAGCAAGCTGCAAGTTCAGTGAGAGACCGTCTCAAAAAACAAGATGGGGACTAATGGAGGATGACACCTCGTATGGACATCTGAATCTCACATGCAGTTGCACACATGTGTGGGCAACCTTGCATATAACATGGGCATGCACACAAATATACTATACATAACTTTTTAAAAAAAGCCCAGGACATTTTCTTCCTATTTGAAGTGATTTTGATTGATTGAAATTCTGCTAAAGGAAAGTAGGTTTTGCACAAAAGAAATCCTATTGACAGGTTTGACGCCTGGTCAACAGGAAATACAGTGCCAACAATAGTCCCAATGTTTGGTTTGTTCTAACTTGATAAACAATACTTTCGAAAACCAAAGAACACTGAAATTACTAAAAACAGGGTAAAATATAGTTTTGAATCCCACTGACCAAATTTTGTATCTCCTTCCTGGGTTTCTGCTCCTGACACAAATGGAAGAATATGTTCACTGATATTGTAGATAATCTCAAGGACAAGTATAGGCCCTGCCTAGCACAGAATTTTCAAGATGGAGTTCCATGATGTTTGCCCAATCCGTAGCTCTACATGCAAAGGAATGTGAATACAAAATCCTTAGCCTCATTATTGAACCATCTCCCTCTTCTCATTCAAAAGGAACATTCAGATTTGATATTTCCATTGGCATAAAAATGATCTTTTCACTAATTTGTGCCTCCCACCCATTCAGCCCAAAGAAGGGGAACATGGAGTTGCAGCAGCAGCAGCAAAATAGGATAGAGCACAGATTTCCACAGACAGTGTCCTGTAGCTCCTCCTGACCCTCAGAAATTCTGGGCTCTGGTGCAAAGAAGCTCTTTGCAGTTGGGCCCATCTCATTCCTTCTTTAAGACCCACTACACAAGAGGAAATATGTTGGGAGCCATACAGCTTGGCATGAACCTTTAGGCCAAACTTGGCAGGCCACCCGCTTATAGAACTTATTGTCTTTGATTATAAATGGTGTCTAGAAGCATGAGCACCCAGAAGGAACAACATGACCCAGATGTCAATCCTTTGTTCCAACCACAGGCCCACTTACCTAGGCAACCCTCCTTTGTCCCACCATTTACCTAGGAAACCCTCCCTCTCCCCACCACCCATGAACTTTTTACCCTGCCAATACCCTCCCCCGCTTATAGAACTTATTGTCTTTGATTATAAATGGTGTCTAGAAGCATGAGCACCCAGAAGGAACAACATGACCCAGATGTCAATCCTTTGTTCCAACCACAGGCCCACTTACCTAGGCAACCCTCCTTTGTCCCACCATTTACCTAGGAAACCCTCCCTCTCCCCACCACCCATGAACTTTTTACCCTGCCAATACCCTCCTTCTATAGTTTTCTGACATCCTGCTTGAACTAACAGCTGGATCCTGGCCTCTTCTCCCCCTTCCCTTTACCCCATACTACTGACTATGTAAGCTGCCTGGAAAAAATGAAATCTGCCACTTGATCAGAATCCTGTCTTGTGGTCATTCTCTCTCATCTCTTGTCCCCATTCCCCTCCCTGGACTTCTTGCTCTAGGTTGCTGTCCTGCGGGTTGGGACAACTACAGAAATATATGCCTAGTATTGTAAATCTGGTCAAGAACCCACGGCCGGGCACTGTAGGAGCCCCAGAGTTGAACTTACTACTGTTATTGTGCTAAATGAATGTAATATCAAACTGCCCTCTAAATCCATATCTCTATATGCACATCTCGAACTTCATCAGAGAGGTTTCTTTGTGCAGAGCATGGCAGTTAATACAGAAACTCACAGATGGCCAAAATAAATGTCTAGGCAGTTATCAGCCATTAATGGATCATTTATGTCACATAACCCCCTCCCCAGAGATCAGGGAATGTCATGAAAGACAGGGTGGAAAGATTGTAAGAACCAGAGAAGGACTCGGGTCGAACAGTATCTTCTGGACATGACAGGACACTAACAGCAGCAGTAGCTACCTTTACCAGTCAACAATGTCAAGCAGAGTACAATGGGATCATGAGCCCTCACCTCTATCTGAGAAGCGGTTGGCAGTTAGTTACTACTTGGAGAGAGCTAGTTTTTAATATGGGTGTAGACCCTGGTAGGTCAACCTTACTTTAGTAGATGCTCCCACACCCAAGAACATATGGATTCAGTAGGTTATTTAAAAAAAAAAAAAAAAAGAGGACAGGAGGGCTGGAGAGATGGCTCAGGGGTTAAGAGCACTGCCTGTTCTTCCAGAGGTCCTGAGTTCAATTCCCAGCAACCACATGGTGGCTCCCAACCATCTGTAATATAGTCTGGTGCCCTCTTCTGGAATACAGGGATACATGCAGTCATAACACTGTATACATAATAAATACATAAAGAAATCTTAAAAAAAAAGAGGTCATGAAATTGGGAGGGACATTAAGGGGAAGGGTGGATCTGGGAGGAGTCATGTGGAGGACAGGGGAATGAATATGATAAAAACACCTTGTATGAATACACAAAATTCTCAATTAATTGATAAAAACTTGATGTAATTCAAAGTAGGTATGGAGTCAAGTTGGAAGGTGTGGATCAGTACAGAATAAGTACAGGGCAGACAGATGAACCTAGGCAGAAATCTCAGCTCCACTTCTCATTATCCATGGAGCTAAGTACTTATGAAAGCACCTGCTCTATGCTGGAGACATCCATGAACTATTTCAGTTCTTCAAGTAAACAAGAAAAGACCAGAAAACAAAAGATGTCCCTTATTTAGCTGATGCTCAGCAGGGAAGAAAGTCTCTGAAGGAGACTTTCCTTTCTCTGAAGGAATCGCTTCAACAATTAAAGAAGCAAAGATTTTTCAACAGGGACTTGTCTGGTGTATCATTCAGGTGATGTGGTTGAATTTTCCATTATCTCTGCATGTGAGCATCTGTGGGGCATGTGGTTTGGTCTAATTCCCACCTAAAATAGCCAATGGCCTATTAGTTGTAAGTTCTGGAAATCAGAATGTCAATTCTATTTTTCATCAGATGACCATGCCAGAGTTGCCTCTGAGCCATGCTCTGAGCGATTACAGGGAAAGGAGAGCAAACTCCATCTGGGGTTTTACTCAGTGTAATTCTGAACAACTATTAAAAATGCCATCAGTGGTCAGACAACATAAGCTATAATCTTAACACAGCCCCCCATGTTTTCTGTCTCCCTATGATTCAGGAGGAAGGATGCTGGCTTTTTATCCTACAAAGATCACCTGCCAGTGAGCCAGGTGGTGGTTGGAGATACTGACCGGCAAGGCTCAGAAGCCAAGCTGAGCGTGGGTCCTCTGCGCTGCCAAGGAGACAGTAAGTTTGCCCAGCAGCTGTGGCTCCTGCTTTCTTATCACTTTGAAATATTGTTTCCAGGCTGCCTCAGAAGATGCCAGTAAACAGACTCGTTCTTCAAAAACATCACACAAAACAAGTAGGGTCCAATAGAGAGCTACATTATTGAAAAGAGGGTGTGTCCAATATAGAAGCCTCAATTCAGGCATAAGACGTGGATATCCATCTTCCTTGTCTATTCATAAGTAACAAGTTTGACTACCTAAGCTTATGGTAGCATAAATAGCAATGCTGATAGCATAAAAGTGCCACTCAACAGCTGGGATTCCACTGTGTGACGCTGTTAATGCCATTAGCATGACTATTTATATCACCATAAAACTGAGTTTATGGTGATATAAATAGTAGCATTATTGCCTAATGTATTATTGTAAACTTGGATTATGGCCGTATAAAGTTTGACATTATGACTATCAAACTCCATCATCTTCAAAGCTTGATGGTTCCTTGAAAGGCAAAGATTGTTTCTATAATGATGTCCTGCTTTCAGGCTTAGGGATCAGAGAGAAATTGGGGGCTGCTATCCTGGACAGTGGGAGGTAACAGAGTCAGCATGATAGTCCCACCTAATTAAGGGCACCATTCAGATTTTATGTTGTTTGATACCCTTCAGTGTACTTTATGTGCACTGGGAGGGGAGCAGTGCATGGTTGCTATGGGGATTCAGCAATGAGCATCCTGGGCATCATTTCCCTCTATTTCCTGCACATGTGATTCAGGCAACACTCCTGGGAGTTCTGTGCTTTTTGTGGTTGTATACTAGGCAAAGGGAGACCTAGATTCCACTCCCTCAATAACAGGCTCACTCGAAGACCCCAGGCAAGCCTCTCCGTTTTATCAGCTGTGGTAATGAGAATACCACGTGTGTCCCAATGTCTCCTGGGGAGACCATAAAGATTTTTAGTGCCTGGGTTCGGATTCCTCCTAAATCAATGGAGAATTAAGCCTATTCAATAATAGATTCTTGCAACCATTCTAAGAGGTGTCCTAACGAAGGTAAGAGTTCACACTTAGCAGTTTATTGCTTAGTTAATTGAGACTGTCTGTAGTTAAACAAGGGGATGCTCTTAACACAAAAGAGGGGACATGTTTGAACTGATCTTTCTCTTCTTACACTGTGAAAAAATGCTACCTACAGAATTGAGGTTGGTCAAAAAGATCTTTTTGAAGCTTTGGCTATAAACAGTAAAACTTCACTTGTGTATCCAAACTTGGTAATAGTGCACAAAAAGATATTTGTTTTTAGCTTATTAAGAAAAGATAACCGGCACAGAACAATAAACACTATGCATATTACATGCTATGAGATGGACTATCAATATACCAGGCCTCAGGAAGAATTTATTATGGGTTTGCTTTTTATGCAGCACTTCCCTAGGTGACCTGGGAATAGGAAAAGATAATTTGAGAAATTCACATGAAAAAGTATTAGAAGATACAGATGGGTTATTGTTGCACTGGCTGGTTTTGTGTTAGCTTGACACAATCTAGAGTCATCAGAGAAGAAGAATCCTCAGTTGAGGAAATGCCTCCTTGAGTTCCAGCTATAAGGCATTTTCTCAATTAGTGATCAATGCAGGAGCCTATGGTGGGTGGTGCCATCCCTTGGCTTATAGTCCTGGGTTTTATAAGAAAGCAGGCTAAGCAAGCCGTGGGGAACAAGCCAGTAAGCATCACCACTCCATGGCCTCTGCATCAGCTCCTGTCTCTAGGATACTGACCTGTTTGAGTTCCTATCCTGACTTCCCTCATGATTAATAGCAATGGGAAAGTGTAAGCCAAATAAACCCTCTCCTTCCCAACTTGCTTTTTGGTCATGGTGTTTTGCCATGGCAATAGAAACCCTCACCAAGCCGGGCTTTGGTGGCACACGCCTTTAATCCTAGCACTCGGGAGGCAGGGGCAGGCGGATCTCTGTGAGTTCGAGGTCAGCCTGGTCTCCAGAGCAAGTGCCAGGATAGGCTCCAAAGCTACACAGAGAAACCCTGTCTCGAAAAAAAAAAAGAAAGAAAGAAAGAAAGAAAGAAAGAAAGAAAGAAAGAAAGAAAGAAAAGAAACCCTCACCAAGATAATCATTTAATTCTAGATTTTCCAATGTAACATTATTATAATTAATTTCTCAAGAAAGGAGAGGTAAAAGGTGCGTTTAAGGTAGGAGTGTGTGTGTGAGTGTGAGTGTGTGTGTGTGTGTGTGTGTGTGTGTGTGTGTGTGTGTGTGTGTGTGTGTGCATCAGAGACTAATTCTGGAATATCTCCCTCTATCACTGTGCACTTTATTTTTGAGGCAAGATCTCTCACTTGACCCTGGCACTCACTGTTTTGGATGGTCTAGCTGACCACTGAGCCCCTGGGGTCTACCTATCTGTGCTCTCCACACTGAGGTTACAGGTACACAAAGCCATGCCTCATCTTTTAAAATGGGTTTTAGGGATCCGAAGTTGGGCCATTTTGATTTCTTAGCAAGCACTTCATCTACTGAGGCATCCCCCCATCTAGACTCTATTTTAATAAAAGACAGAGGAAAAATTAGAAGAGCATAATGATAAATGTTCATTTATGTTTCTACGTCAAGACTGTTTTCAGATGCATTATTAGGACTGTATGAGTCAGGGTTCTCTAGAGGAAAAGGGCCGATAGAATGAAAAATGATAGTATACATGCATATATGTAGAGAAATAGATATGAAGGGGGGGTTATCATGATAGCTTAAAGTCTGTGGTTTGAGGAGTCCAGTACTGGCTGTCTTCTGATGGAAAGGTCCAAGAATTCATTATTCGTTCAATCCATGAGGCTGGATGCCCCAACTGGTTTTCAGTTCACACTGCAATATTGAAGGTGTAGGTTCTTGTACCAGCTAAGGAATGACAGCCATGGGTAGATGAACTCTTCAGTGAGAGTGAGGGAAAGCAGACAAAGAGCAAAAGCTTCCTTCTCCCAATGCTTGTTAGTAGGGTGACTCCAGAAGGTGTGGCCTAGATTTGTAGACCATTTTCTGAGCACAAATGATCTCATCAAGAAAACCCCTCACATGTGTGTCCTGATTCTTGGGTTTGGGTTGGGTTCCAGATGTAGTTAAATTGACAATCAAGATTAGATATCACAAGGACCCATTACTAATGAAAGTAATTACCTTGGCAGTGAATAGTGAACAGTGTTGGTATAGTACAGATAATATAGATTCAGAGAGAATCATATTATACCCAATATTTCATGAAAATGCAATGATAACTGAAGTTATGTGGGATACTTTTGTATTTGTGAGAGGAAAGGCATCTATCTTCCTTTTCCCCAGGAAGCTGAGAATGTGTTGTATGAACTCGCCCTGCCCTCAAGCCGTGAGCAATCGACAGTTTGCAGACCCACTTTCCCTTTAAAAACTTTCTCGAATGGGTACAGTTTCAATGAAAGATTGCATGTGGGCAGCATTTCCCAGCTTTTACCCTTGTCTAATATGCTTTGACACTTGCATCCCCACATGCACTGCATAAGGCGAACTGTTTTTGTTGTGCAAATGAACAAATTATTTCTTTTCAAATGGTGTTTACATAACAAATTTCCAAGCCCCTTGCAAATACCCGGAAGTTGGAGCAGAGAATATAAACATGACACCACCATTGATTTTTTAACTCCATGCTCTTCCTTCTGTCAAAGACCAGTTAAATTCAACTGTCTTAAAAAGACTTAGCAGTTGGAGGCCTGGGCAGTCTATGGGGCCCCTGGTAATGGAACAGCATTTATACCTAGTGTAAGAATGGACATTGGGAGTCCATCCCCCTGGAGGGATACTCTCAGCCTAGACACAAGGGGGAGGGCCAAGGCTCTGCCCCAAATGATGTGACAGAATTTGATGATTTCCCCATAGCAGGCCTCACCTTTATATAGAGCTGAAGAGGGATGGGATGGGGGTTGGTGGGGGGGGGGGCGTGAGAGAATGGGAAAGAGAGGGACTTGGGATTGATATATAAAATAAGATTTTTTTCTAACTTAAATTTTTAAAAAGGAAAATGTATTTAGCTTAAGAGTTGAAGAAATGGCTCAGTGGTTAAGAGTATTTTTTTTTCTTCCTGAAAAGGGCTCGGGTTTGATTCCCAGAACTCACATGGCAGCTCACAACTGCCTGTAACTCCATTTCCATGAGACTGTACACCTTCTTTTGACCTCTGTGGACACCATTTTTTAGATATTTGTCTTGGGTGTTAGCCCATCACAAGTTCCACCAACCCACATCGTACTAAGAGGACGGATACAGGATGTTTCTTAAGTCATCTTGTGAGTTTGTGCCGTTATTTAATGGAGATGTTTGAGATACTTCTTAAGGTCTCTAGAGAGCTTCAGAAAAGGCAGTTTCACAACAGAACACCCATTGTATTTCTCTCTTTCTGCCTCTCTATTTGCCCCCTCCCCCAGTTTGAGGAGCCCAGCTTCAGCAGCTCTCCAGAAGTGTGTGGTGCATTAGGCCCCAGTTCAAGGCTCTACTCGCAGAGACTGAAACTTTTTCTGTGAGCTCCGTCCAGCTGTTACAGAGTTGCAGGTGATTTCCTCACGCCTGCCATGTTTCAACTTTTACTCTAAGTCATCTGAACTGGTAGACCCATGTAATCAAAGTGCTAAACCAAATCAGTACCTTTCATTTAGGCCTGCCCTGTGTCTCCTAAGGCGACGTGAAATACGTAGGCCCTGACAGGGTGGCTGCTGTTGTTTTCTCCTTCAAGTAGAAACCTCCAATCTAAATGACACCAGTGTGACTAGTGATGGATGGCTTGCTACAGTAAAAATTGCAGGGAAATTATACATCTCTCTTAAACCTAGGTACTTTCCTAGGGGAAAAAACAAAGGATCCATTTAGAGAATCAGAACTCAATATCAGAGTAGACACTTTTCAAACTTAAACACGGGCACACCCTCTGAGGCTACTGGGAAACTTCCATGAACTAAAAAAGAAATTCAGTTTTTGAAGGCGG